TGTGCTTGGAAGGCAGGCGGTGGAAGCTCTGAGCTAAATCCCTGGCCCCTAGTGGAGACCTCTCTGAGTGGTAGGTGCCCTGCCCCTCCCCTCCATGAACCTCTGATGATGGAGAAGGGAGAGGAGCTGGCCAGAGGCACGTGGAGCCTCCGGACAGAGAAAGACTTCTGAGAGGGTTTTTCCGTCACTTGATGAGGTGAGGACAATAAAGACCCAGTCCCGAAGCAGGCACCATCGCTGCCCCAGGCCAAGGGAGGCCAAGTACCAAGGAAAGCTATGCATTGGACTGCTGACCCTCAACACCTGCTCTGCAGAGAGTGCGGCTGGCATTCTGAGGAGAGGAACAGTATGCAGCCCAGGGGCTTAGAAAGATGACCAGGAGGTTTTGAAGCCGGCTGCAGCTGTCGCTGGGCTCACAGGGGAGTGGCCAGGCTTGGTGGCGGGGCAGGGGGGTCACATCAACACCTCGCAGTGTGAGAAGCCTTGCTCACCTGTACCTGGTCGTTGACAGTATCCACCCCCCTTCCTCTCAGAACCAGTCAGGCCCGAGAAGCACCAGTAGGTTTGCGGCAGCAGTAAACCTGGGCCACGGGCATGAGTGCGGAGGAGGTGAGCTTCCCTCGAAGCCCGACGGACAAGCCTCGGAAAGAAGAGCTGTAACCCTGCAGCCTCTTGTTAAATGCTAACCGAATTACTCAGGACACATTGCGGCCCTCACAGAGAATTAAACACCTTGAGAACAGCCAGGTCCTTTGTTCTGAAGCTCTTGTGGCTTAAGCACCTCCCTTCAGCTGTGAGGTCCCTTTTCTGAGCTCTGGGAGCAGTAATGAGTGCTAGAGAAATGCTCAGAGGAGGGAGAGACGCGCGCAGAAGCTGCCGAGAGGCCCAGGAGAAGCCTCTTCTGGTTTCCACGGCGAGGGCCCAAGAGCCAGGCCGCAGGGTGAATGCACAAGGCACAGCTATGGAGACCACTTAGGCAGCGCGGTGGGAGGCAGGGATGGCATCCACGCTGGGACTGCTGAGCACTCCAAATGCTTCTCAAAAGCCAGCATTTTCTCCATCCACGCCAGCTTGAAAATGGTCCTTCTTTCACACAGAAAGCTCTTCAGGGAAAAACATAGGTGTGAAAAACACAACTTGTAAAGCAAGAAGCTGCCTGGGGGTAGAACACCCCGTGGAGGAGAGTGAACAACAAGACCCAGGACGGGACTGGGGAGACTTTGGGAGCAGGCAGCGAGGGTTGTCCCAACAGGGTTACAGCTGTTGATGCCAACAGCAGGGCCTCTGGGACACAGCCTGAGCTTGGTCCAGGGCAAGGCCCAGCCTCACACAAGTTCATCCCCAAAGCAGGCATGCGTGGGCTGTGGGTGTCACTCACAGCAGAGCACCTACGTAGTGGGCACGGGACCTGGGTCCGCACACAGGACTGAGCAGGTGGGGCTCGTCCAGCTGAGAATCGGAGCCCGGTGGTGTGGCCTTGTGCAGCCTGTGGCTCCTCAGTGAATAGCGAAGACAATTCCCTGGCTAGAGTGGTGGGGGCCTCGTTGGAGCTGTCTGTCAAGCAACACATGGCACATGCTTTTCTGGTTGCATCTTTTTACCCCTCGGCCCACATTTCCTTGGGACCCAGAACCGTATCTTGGCTTGCAGTGGCCTCTCCGTGTGGACTTGGAAAATGTGAAGGCCGTCGTCTCGCCGAACTGCTTGCTGGGGCGGACACAAATCCACAGTTCCTGTTCTTGTCGTGCAGCGACCTGACCCTGGCGTGGCATTTGACCTCACTCCCTCAGCCTCGGCCCGGGCAAACATCCATGCCGCATCCCCGTGGTGCTCAACATGGCCTTGGGCTATTGTTTCCTGGCATTCAGAAAGCCACTGTTTCCATGGGTTGAACTGGCGCTTGAAACCTGCCTGCCATCCCTACGTCACTTTAAAAGAACCCCATGACCATGGCCTAAAGTTGCAGGGTGCACACTGAATGAGTCTGAGCTGAAGCCACATTTAATTGAGACAAGGAGGGAGATTCGTTTCTCTTTGGTGCTGAGGAATGAGCCCATGGCTGGGGCTGTGGGACCGCAGAGGGCTCCGCCGGTGCAGTCTTGGTAACCAGAAGGACGGGCTGTACTGAGATAGTTGGCAGATCTGCTCGTGTTCTTACCCAGCTGGACGTCCTGAGCAACTTGGCTGTTGCTTCAGTGTTTGTGGTTCAGCCCCAAGTCTGAGGCTCGAGCCCTCTCAGGCCATCCCTTAGGACAGCCGAGCAGCTGGCGCTCATGGGGAGGGGTCCATACCGCCTTGACCTAGCTCCTGCCTGGCTGAAGCCACGGTCACCAGGAAGCCCTCACCCCAGGGGTCCCTACAGCAGGGGAGGGCCTGGCAGCCCAGCTCTGGGCGTGGATCTCCAGGAGCTCCTACAGCAGGCCTGGCCTCACCTTCAGACTCATTTGTGCTGGCTCAGTTTGGTTTTCTTGGGCTTCTGTGTTTGCTGCTGTCAGTAAGACCTGGGGAGACGTGGAGCTGCCTCCCCTACCTTCCTTGCGGTGCTGAGCAGCTGCTTTGGCTCAGGGGCCACCCATTTCAACCCCAGGGTAGAAGGGGAGCCTGTGGAGGGAAACTAGAGGTCCTCAGGGTGATTCTCCTCCCCTCGATGTAAGCTGGGGTGGTCACATCGCAGGTGCCTGATCACAGACCGGCAGGGTCACCTCTGCCTGGGACCCACTCTTATGGACAGCGTCTGACCCTTACATCACCTAGCTACTGCCTGGGCTAGGGTGCCTGTGTTTCTTTTCTCCATTAAGATTCCGCCATGTGCTAGTGCAGGAACCCACTAGCGCTTACCTGAGAAGAAACCGCAGGTGGCGTGTCACCAGTTACCATAACAACATGGGTGGTTTGTCGAAGTAGGGGAGGCCGTGCCTTGGTAGCATCGACCCAGGAGACCTCAGTGATGTGACACAGCACAGGCTCATGCGTCGTTCCACAAAGCCAGCGATGTTTGAGTTCTGCTTCCTCTGGTGACCCGGTCCAGTCTGCTGTCATCTGTGGCTCTGTCATTTCAACCCCAAGCACCAAGCTCGCCCCACAGGAAGACGGGAGCGGTGGAGAGCACTCAGTGAGTGCTCTTACAGGCCAAGATTGCAAGTGCCTCCCTACCAGGGACCCCTCATTCCACCCGTACAGGATGGGCTGGATGTGACTGCTTCTGCATCCTAGTAATCTGCAGTACTTGGTAGAAATGCAGGTTCCTGGGCCTCGCCCTAAATTCAGAGTGAGGATCTCCACAGGAGATCCAGATGCTGCACTTTAGCAAGCCTGCGGATGATGGGCCTACACAGGAACTGTGACCAGGGTCACCATCTGGAGACCTTGACAGGGCCAGCGGGTCCTCGGTGCACAGCTCCAAGGCTGTCACGGCGGTGTCACCGTGTCCTTCCGTGGACTTGGCTACAGGGCACTCCCGGAGCCTCTGAAATCTACTGCATAGGCTCGGTCTCCCTTCAGGTGGTGAGCAGTACTACATACAGTCAAGCCGCCTCTGACTGCTGTCAGCTCTCCGCCTCGCTCCCGGTGCGTCCGTGCGCCATCTGGTGGCGACGTCGTGTAGCCGCAGAGTACTGCCCGGAGAAGGAGAGGCCATTTTCACAAATCATCTGGCCGGAAGTGGGACTGTGTGTATGGAGCAGATACCTTCAAACACCTCATCTCTCTTAGCGTCCCCCTAGCCCTGGCCTCTGTTGTCAGTGTCCCAGGCCCTGAGTATCTGAGAGGGCTCTGCCTAATCAGACATGGAGTCTTACTCATTGCACGGAAATACTAGAGCTCCTAGCTCTGCAGCCACTTAGCCACAACCCCACAAAGATCTGGACATTCTGTCTCTCTAGGTCTCTCTCCTGTCAGTCCATCCAGTTCTAGCCAATTTCCAGCCACACTGACTTCCCAGCACCACCCTGGCTACAGACCCTCAGGGAGCCCCGTGCATCTGTCCTGTGCAGTCTTTTAGCCTGGATTCAGGGTGTCTTGTGCCCACCCCGCCCACAGCCTGATGTGGCCTCATCTCTACTCACTCTGGTCTGGCCAGTCCTCTTCTGCCCTGAACCTGGCAAGTTCTCACCTGCAGGCCTCAGCTCCCACTGGCCCCTGCCGTGGTTCACCCAGCCCTCAGAGCAGTAGTTTAGGCCCATCATTTATTTGGGGCTGTAATTCAAGACTCTCCTTCTCAGAAGCCTTCTCAGACAGCTGTGTTTCCCAGCTCCCCAGAATCCTCTGGGGTTACTTCATGGCTCCGCGTATTACAGTGAGGTTCCAAAGGGTCCCCCTCCCCACGTAGATGTGAGCACCACAGACACAGGGACTGAGACTCTGATAGAGCTGGTGCACACGCTAAGTGCATAGGAAACGCTGATTTGTGCATGGTCGCAGGAGTGGGCTTGTGGAGAGACCTTTGCACCCTGATGTTGGTCATCATCACACGTGGTCTGGAGAAAAGAAAAGGAGCCCAACTTCTGGCAACTTCTCATGTGACAACCGCACTGGCTTGTGTGCATGCTCAAGCGACACACAGACTCCCTGACGGTAAAAGACCCCTGTTTGTGAAAGCAGTTGTGCTCAGTTATGTAAAAGTTTCACCCAAAGCCCTGAGATCTTAGGATAATTGCATACTGGTGAAGGCATTTGTCACCTGATCTGGGTGCTCACATTTTCTCAGACTACCTCATGCAACAGCAGAACAAGACTCAGCAAACTCGCATCTGCTCATGATAGCCCTCAGAGGCCCGGAGGAGACTGGCTGGCTGAAGGCGTGCACTGGCCCTGCTGTCGGATGTTGGCCCTCACCCTGTGGTGATGGCACTGTCACATGCAGGATGCACAGGGCCACCTGCACCGCAGCTGATGCTCAGTCTGGCCAGCCACCTTGGGGATGACTGACATGTGACACTAGCTCAGAAAGTATTCTTGCTGGATGTGGTGGCCCTGTAACCCTAGCACTCAAGAGCTGAGGCAGGAGGATCATCTTGAGTTCTAGGCCAGCCTGGGCCACATAGTGAGACTTTGTCTCAAAAAAAAAAAAAAAAAAAAAGGAAAGAAAGAACAAAAACCAAAGAGAGGTTTCTTAATCCATTGACACTTAAGCAAAAGTGGTTTGATTGGCAAATGAGTGTTTGTTGAATTATTCTTATGGGCAAATATAATGAGCTCTAAATACAAGATGTGGGATGGGTTTCCAGGACATTTTAGAAGCAGAGTGGTGGTAGTGCTGTTTTCTTCTTTCCTCTGCAGTTTACCATCTAAATTCTTTTCTTTTGCAGGACCGCCTGGCCCCCCAGGTAGGTGCTGTGGCCTGTCTTCTATCAGCGGAAGATAGGATGGGTGGCCACATCCCAGGCCCCTCTGCAGGGAGCCAGGTGGGAGAAGGGAAGAGGGAGGAGGTGGCTGGCTTCTCCCGCTGCTCTGTGTCTGTCACCCCAGGGTCTGCCCCTCCCATTCCGCAGCTGTCACCTCTTCAGACAGAGAAAGAAGGGACACAGCAGGAGAGGAAGCTGCTCTCTCCTTGCCTACAGGGACTGGCGTCGACTTCAGGGCAGGTTCTGTTCTAAGCCCCGTTTCCCTGTTTTGACTCAGGACCTCCGGGAGTCAGTGGACTACCAGGGCACAATGGATCAGACGGACAGCCTGGCCCCCAGGGCCCAAAAGGCGAAAAAGGAGCGAATGGAAAAAGAGGAAAAATGGGTATTTTAGCAACTTGTCTAATCAATTGCCGTTTTCTCTTCGCCATGGTTGCATCTGGGGTGGGCTCAGCTGCTGCCCTCCAGCCTGGGGACTGGGTTACTCTTGCCTGGAAGTTGCTGCATGCCAGGTACTATGTGTTGGGTGCCATCTTTTCTATCCATACTTAGGTCAAACTGGAGAGTTGGTCGGTCTCCCTGGGATCGGTCCCCACTTTGTGCTCTCTGATGCAGAGGGAAACAGACAAGTCAGGAGCCCACAGCCTGGGGGAAGGGAACCCTGCGGGCTGTGTGACAACTTTGTGACATGCTCTCTCCAGGCTCTTGCCCTGCCGGGCTGCTCCCTCCTCCCCCTGTGGAAACTCCCTGGACGGACGCTGGTCCTAGGCTGTGACCCTCACCAGCTGGAGGAGGACAGCAGCCCGGGCATCTCGGAGCCTGGCGCTCACTGTGGGTGTGGCTGGGGGACTTGCGTGGCCCATGAGCAGGGCATGACCATTGCCTGGCAAAGCCGGAGGCAGCAGGATGTCAGGTGTGTCTCGCCCAGGGAGGGAGAGGCATCAGCATCAAAGGCAGGGTGAGAGTGACCCCTGAGAAGCTCAGGAAGGCTGGCTCACTCGTGGTCACCAGCAAGGGCACCACTAGGGCCAGGAGGCTGATTTCAGGGGGAGCCCAGGTCGCCTGTCTGTCCAACCTGGACTCCAGAGTGCAGCCGCCCAGACCAGCAGGGCTGGAGCAAGACTCGCAGATTCCTTCACGCACAGCTGCCCTTCCGAGCACCCTGGCTGTTGCTCCCCTGGTGATTTATGTGCATCTAGGAGAGAGGGAGAAAACTGCAGAGCAGCTCTGCGCTCCCACGTCCCAGAGCGCAGCCTGGGCCACAGAGGCTGCAGTTGTAGCAGGGGTTATGGAGGGGCGAGGGCTGGTGTCACAATTATAATCACAGATCACTGCAGCATAGAACAACCTTTGCAGTCGGCCCCAGGAGGACCCCAGCTTGCGATATGGGTGCCCAGTGCTGAGTGTGACGGCGACACTCAGGGTGGGGCTCCTGGCTAAGAGGAGGCGGCTGGTGGAAAAGCAGCAGCTTCCCGAAGGCTCAGAGACGGATCCCCAGCTCAGCCTGTGACCTGCAGCCAGGGCAGGCAGCGAAGAAAAGGCCATTCTGCTACAGCACCAGCATTTCTGGGCAGGCGCCATTCCAGACGCAGGACACTCAGGAGTGGCCCAGCTCTGTGGGACAAAGAAAACCTCTGAAGCTTCCTGGAAGACACCGAGGCAGACCTGGAGGGGAGAAGAGGGGCTCGGCGTTGTGGGGTTGTCCCACTCACCATTACTGAGTGGCCCCTCGCCACCTGTGGGAGGTGGGAAGGTGGACAGTGCTGAGGGGAGGCTGGAAGTCTGAGAAAGCTTAACATGTTCTGAGCTCACCTGAGCCGCAAGACCCTGAGGTTGGCTGCTAAGGCTGACAGTGAATGGCTGTTCTTCTAAGGAAGCCTGAGATCACTGTGATGGAGGACAGGAAACGCATCATCTCTCCCCAGTTACCACGCTCTACGCGGCTGGGCCAGACAGTCCGCAGGATCTTTAATACGATGCAGCAGGTCCGGGGGAAGTAGAAGAAATTTTTTTAAAAATAGGCCAGAAGGCAACAAGAAAATGAAATTTTAAAACTGTACTTTTAAGAAAAAAAGTACCTTTAGGAAACTAAATTAAAAAAATGTTTTCCTTTAAACACAGAAGCCCGGAATTTGGGCTCTGGACCCATCCTGTTCACCTGTAAATTGTGCATCCTCCCTCCTCAAGGAAGCAGCGATATTCGCGGGCAGCAGATCTCAACTTCAAACACGTGTAAAAGACTGAGTCTGCGTGGTGGTGCAGACCTGCAGCCCTAGCACTCTGGAGGCTGAGGCAGAAGGATCGTGAGTTTAAGGCCAGCCTGGGCTCTGTAGTGACACCCTGTCTCCAAAACATGAAAAAGAAAAGGGCTGTGTAAACAGAATGGAAATCTCCACGGGGCAAGAGTGCCAAAGCCTCTTGGCCTGAGTCCTGTGTGAAATGACTGTCTTTCTCATGGTTCCTGATCCCTTCGGGACAACGGGTGGAGCTGAGAAGTTCCCCTGGGTTGGGGGATCCAGCCTAAGCTCTGCCTTGTGCTTCGTGCCTGCCAGGCTTCTTCCTGAAAGGCTCAGCGTGGCTTGCACTGCGTGATCCCTTTAATGTTCATGCTACCTGGCCCTCTGCTTGCTGCTTTTCTCTCTCGCCACCTCCATTTCATCAGAGTGGTCCTTGGCTCCTCGACTTAGAGTTTTCCAGGCCATGCTTGGAGACCCGCTGTCACTCAGATCTGCACTGATTTCTCTCTACAGACCCTGCAGTCATGGCTGCCCACAGTGGAGGCAGAAATGTGGCCACACTGTCACCACCCTTATTCGTGGTTGTCCTGGAGAACTTCCCCTGGTCTGCTGTTGTGGCTAGGAGCATTGCACTGGAATGTCACAGCAGCGGGCCTTTGTGGTTGTTTTGGAAGCCTCAGTGTAGTCACTTGGCCTTGGTTTCAGAAAACACTGATAAAATGAGAGTTAGGACAACTGACTGCCCAGCCTAGCACTCCAACGTGAGGGAGAAATAAACCTCATGCCGTTACAGTGCTCGTGCACCGTCCAGAGGTGCTGCCAGGCTCGGTTAGGGCTCCTCACCTGCTCCCCGCCACAGCAGTGGTCATTCCTGCTGTGCCTCGCTCCTGTCTGCAGCCTTTGCTCCGAAAATGCAGGCCCACGGAGCCACCCGGGGATGCTGTTCTCTGATGAACAACAGCCGGGCGGCTGCCCTGAAACGCCTGAGAAGGGCTTGGTGTGGAGAGCTGCTCCACCCCACACATGTGATCATTGCAAAGCAGGACACCAGGGCTTCTCGCACAGTAGGCTAATAGAGCTTTTTCCTCTTTCAGGCTTGCCTGGAGCCATAGGAAATCCAGGGGAACAGGGAGCAAAGGGAGACCCTGGTGAGCTGGGCCTGCCTGGAAACAAGGGCCCACCAGGGCCGAAGGGAGAGAAGGGAGACAAAGGAGATGTGTCCAACGATGTGCTGCCGGCAGGTAGGAGCCTGTCCACTTTCCCGTCCAAGGGCTGCCGCATCTCACTCTGTCATCGTCCGTGGCCCTCCTTCTATTCTGCAGAAAATTCTGCAATTCTTTACATTCAAAGAGGAGAAAACCGTGTGTTTCTCCATGAAGGCAAGACCAAATCGATCTAAGCATGAGCTTTTTTTTCCAGTACTGGGATTGAACCCAAGGCCTTTACACTGAGCTACATTCCCAGCCCATTTTTTTTTTTTTTCCTTACTTTGAAGTACGGTTTCACCAAATCACTAAGTTGTTTAGGCTGGTCTCAAACTTGCGATCCTCCTGCCTCCGAGTGCTGGCGTTATTACAGGCACACAGCAACATGCCTGGAAAGTCTGCGTCACTTAAATAACCAGAGTTTAGAGCTATAGTTGGATTCAGTGGGGTGAAGGAAGCTTGCTTTTTCAAAATGTTTGTTGAAATCCAGCACAATCCTGAATAGGAAGATAACCAATCCACTGGAGATTCCTCGGTGGCCAGCAGCGAGCGTTTCTTCACAGTCAAGGTGGAGCCATCTGCAAAACCTGAGCTGTTTGCCCTCAAGTTGCAGTAATATTCAGTGGCTGGTTTTCTGGTCCAGACTGTTGTTTATTTAGACGAGGCTGAGGCAGAAAGAGTTGGTGATCACTGTCATGGAGGACAACACAAAAGAATTTGAAAATCACCGTACTTTGGAAACCACTGATGTCATAAAAAAGATAACTGTTCTGTTAACGCAGTGATACCTCAGCTCACAAACACAACTCTCTCCACCATTCTGGTCACAAACCAAACTGGATGAGAACCAAATCAAATCTCCCCATGAGGTCAGCACTGAACCTAACCACTGAATTTGATTCAGTTCTTGTCCAAATGGGTTCATGACCAGAATCATGGAAAGAATCAAGCTCCTGAACCATGCTCCTGGTATAGGAAATGTTATCAGGAGATGAAATGTGACCTCCGAGGGACATAATAGAAATATTATAGTTCCCAGCCTGTTCGATGTCTGTACGCCAAGCTCATGTTCTCTAAAATCAAAAAATGAGTTCTAGGAACAATGGAGGTTGAGAGTAGGAAAACATTTATTGAGAGGATAGCTCCTGAGAAGCAGGAAGGGTTCTGAATGGGTAGCAGAGGACCCTGCTTTATAGGGAAGTTTTATAGAGCAAAAGCCTTGTGGGTTACAGCTATGATCAACCAATAAGGCTCAAGAGTCATCGCTCAGGTAACAGTGATCCAATGGGGAGCAAGTCATGTAACAAGTGTGCATGGAAAGAATGACTTTTTTAAGGAAATGGTGGGTCCAGAGGTCTTGGGGTCCCCCCTACCCCGTGACTGGTGTCTCTCTGGACTTCATTAGGCCAGGTGTTGTCGCTTATCTTGTCCTTTGGGAAAGTGCAAGGCCTGGTCATTTCATCTTTATGTTGAGGCCTGCTCTCCAGCAGGTGAGTCTCTGGCTACAGTTGTAATGTGATTTACCTCTGTCTGGACTCTGTTGAGGACCTAGCCCTATCTGATTGCCTATAGTATTTCTACCTAATTTAGCTGTCTATAATAGTACCACTACAAGGTATGATGGAAAAATACAGTGAATGCTTCAATTTTTTAAAGTTTAGCACAGTAAAAGACACACTTCCACTAATTCTCCCAAAACACACTCCCCTCACTCCAGACACACTTACCTCGTGGTTCTTGCGCTTTCTGAAGCGGCTCTGAAGTCTTCTTTCTTGAGTGTCTCTAGTTGTGCCAGCATAACTGCCCCAGTGTCCTGAAATGATTCAAAACATCGACTCTGGGGAAGATCCCAAAGTCACACCGTGCCAGATCCAGTGAATAAGGTGGGTAGGGACACGCTGTGGTGTTTTTAGGAGCTGCCTTCCCACTGAATGGCACTCGGCAGCACTGCTCGCCATATTTTTTATTGCACCTCATAAAGACAGTCACAAAAGACTCGCAGAACTGCTTCAGAAAGGCGCAAGAACCATAAAATAAATGTGTTGGAAATGAGAGAGAATTTTTAAGGGGATTCATGACCATCTGTCTGTTACTCTAATAAATTTTAAAAACTGGAACCACTCACCATACCTTCAGTCACCCCCGTACACACCCCGCGCATCACGTTGCCCTGCTGCTGAACGAGTGAGAAGGTGAGAAGCCGCCATTCTGGAAACCTTCGAGCCGGGCGCCCTAGAGACCCGGGCGGGGCGGAGCTGCTGAGTGCGCCCTCTGCTGGAGGGGAGCGGGGCAGCAGGTGGCTCGTTCTGCCTGCGGGGCTCCACCCTTCCAGAAAGACCCAGCTCCTACGGCCCACTCTAGGGAGACTGAAGAGGGTCTGGCCGGGGCGACGCTTTGGGCACCGGTCGAGAGGGGCGAGGCTGCCTCCACATGTGTGGGGCTAGAGCTGCGAACCCCTTCACAGCAGTGGCCTCAGTGGTTCCCAGGGTGCGGGGCCGGAATGGAGAATGTGGGGAGGAAGAAACAGGCCCGGGGAGAAAGTTGAACAGAAGCAGCGCCTGCGTGAGCTCGCCCAAGGCCCAGGTCCTGCTCCGCGCAGGTTACGACCTCGGCCAGATCGCTCCTCTCCCTAGGACGGGGTCTCCTGGGGATCTCACGGCCTCAGTCGCTTTCTCGTCCCTGGGACACAAAACATAACACCCACAACTTGAAGGAGAGGTTCGTGTTGGCTCACGTTCTCAGAAGCTTTAGTCCGCGCTCAGCTAGTTTAAATACAGAGACTGTGGCAGAAGGGCCTGGCCGAGGGAAGCTGCTCACATCGTGGCAGCCAGGGAGCAGCCAAAGAGGGAGAAGCCAGGCCGCGCCCCTGTGACTGGCCGTTCCTGACCGGACCCTGCCCCTGGACCCGAGGTCCCACCCCTTTCTGCAAGGATGCTGTCCATTTCTTTCCTCTCTCACTCTCTCTCCAGGTGCCAAAGGCGACCAAGGCCCCCCTGGCCCACCTGGGCCCCCAGGCCCTCCAGGCCTGCCTGGGCCCCCTGGAGGCAGAAGAGCCAAGGGCCCTCGGCAGCCAAACACATTCAACCGCCAGTGCTCAGGTGACCAGCCCTGTCCCAGGGTCCCCATCTTTCCACGCCTGCTCCCAGACTCTGGTCTGCACTCAGGCTTTGAGGCCAGCTTTCCTCAAGCACGGGGAGGAGATCTGGCCCCGAATGTGAACCTGGGCGTCTCCCTGGGAAGAGGAAAGGTGGGAAATGGAGCCCCCGGCTCTGCGCTCCTCCGTCTCCTGCTCATCACCAACCCCTCCTCGCCTCCCTGACCATCCTCCCTCCCCGCTGAAGTGCGAAGCTGCTGACCCCTGCAGCCGTGAAGGGCTGGAGGGAGGCTCTGCTGGAGGTGACAGGGCAGCTGCAAGGGTGGACGCCCACAGATGTCATCACAGCGGCGGGTGGGACCTCGTGGCCCTCTTCACCGGGCCACACCCCAGGCTCCGCCCATGACTAAATGCTGACCCAGTGCTTTGTTCTTTGAACCCTCACAACGACCCTGCCACACCGGCATCCACATCGTCTCCATGCTGACGTTCAGGAGACACCCAGGGAGCCAAGTCCCTTGTCCAGGGCCGCTGCGTTAGGGCCCAAACGCAGGCTCCTGGCTAGGAGAACATCTTCCTTCCGGAGAGGGACCTGGCCCAGCCACTCGAGGGTGGGGAGTCCCTGGTGTCTGGTGGAGGACTTGTTCTTCAACAGGCCTGTGAGATTGCAAGTTACTAGAAATCGAGGGTCACCGGAGTGGGAAGTGTTTCTAGGTGACTTCGGCACTTTTTCTAGAACGAGCCGGTGCAGGACAGGCCAGCTCACCCTCCACGTGAGCCGAGGCAGCAGCACCGTGTCCCGCGTGGAGTCTCCCACACCTGTGGTCTAGTGTGTGTGGTACGCCGTTCTCAGGACCTCTCAGGGCCCAGAGGGTGGATCTGGGCTTTCAAAGATGTCACCGCCCCTGGGCAGTAGAGCCTGATACTGTTCAGCACTCAGCCCAAGGGGATGGTGTTGAATGGCAGAAGTCCTCCCTGTTGGCCCCTTGAGTGAGTGCACCTGTCACCTGGGAGGAGAGGCCTGATCGGAACCTTTGCAGAAATCCTGTTTGCCAGGGGCTCGGTCACCACCCACAGTCGTGACAGTTGCCTTCACAGAGGCCGCTGCCTTTGCTCTGCCTGAGGAATGGAGTCCCAGGCTGCCAGATGCCTGTGTCTGAACTTGGCCCTCTTGCCTGCTCCGGTTCCATTTCTTTAATGGCCTTTAATTCCCAGAGCACAGAGACCAGGGGCAGCAGGATCCCACGTAGGAGTTGTGACAGTTCTGAGGCTCCTGTCCTCAGGGCTTCAGAGGAAGGCCTCGTGCAGCCGGAGACCTGCTGAGACCTGAGGGTGTGGCCCCTTGGCTCTCCTGAGAGCTCCTAGTTCAGTGGAGGGGCTGCTCTTTCTGTCAGGTTTGCCCAGGTGAGTGGGCCTGGCCCTTCCAGAGCACCCAATTGGCCCAGTCCACAGCCCACGGCCAGCCCTGTCACCTGCCCACTGGCTGCCACGCTAACAGGACCAGTGACAAGGCAGGTGGCCTCTGACCCCCATGGGCCAGACACCAGGGAAGTACCTGTGTCCTCACAGGCCTTCATGCAGAGGATCCGCAGGTCAGGAATAGTGGCCCAGGCTGGGCAGCTCTTTGGTTCCTTCCTCCCTGGAAGCTCTGTGATTCCACCCCTGACACCTGACCCAGGGAAACTCAGGAAAGCAGGCCACCTTATCCTGAGGCTGCGCCTTCCTAGCTCCTACCTTCTCTCCCCTTCCCCGTGAGAGAGACTCCGCCCCCAGGGAGACCAGGAAGGTATCACCAAGACTCTCTCCCAGGTGGCTGAGGGCTCCACAGGCTGACTCAGGCTACTTTGTCCCCATTACTGAGCCCTGTGGCTCGGATGTGTCCCCAGGTACACGCGGTGCAAACTTAATCCCCTGTGTGACTGATGGGAGTTGGAGTCCCTAAGAGGTGACTTGGCCAGGAAGGCTCTGCCTTTATCCGTTATCTCAGGAGAGGGCTCCCCACCGCTCCTGGAACACCTCTGCCGTGTCACTGCACAGCCGGGGCCCTCACCAGATCCCACCTCAGCTCCCACACCACGTCCGGTCCCTGGTGTTCCCTCGTGGCAGCGCAGGACAGAGACGCCCCTGTCCTCTTAGAATTGTGCTATCCTAGTCTACCGCCATACACCCTGAACCCACCTGATCGCGTCTGATCTTGGAAGCTAAGCAAGGTCAGGCGTGGTTAGTACTTGGACGGGAGAATTGTGCTATCCTAGCAACTGTGGTTGCCAGAAGCTTGTCAGGAGCTCACCATGTGGGGAGAAAGGGCAGCACATGGCCCAGGGTGGCAAGAAACACGTTGAACCTGTGTCACGGGATGCTGTGGGGCTGGGGCTGGCATGCGGGGCGATGGAGGCAGCGGAAAGCCGGTCGTCCCACTGTGCCAGCCACGTCTGCTTCAGTATTGCTCTTCCAGGTGAGACGTGTGCCGTACCCAATGATGACACCTTGGTGGGAAAAGCTGGTGAGAAAATCAGTGAACAGCACTCCCCACAAGCAGGTACAGCGCAAAGCATCCTGGAACCGGTACCCTCAGGGAGGCCCTTGCCACACATGTGCAAGGCCTTGGGTTGAATCCTAGCACTGGAAAACAAAAAAGAAAAAGAGCAAAAAAATTTGGATGCCTAAGAGACAGGTAATTTTTTCTTTCTTTCTTTTGACAGAATCCATGATTGCTTCCATTGGAAACCCCACGCAAGTACTGAAGGTGACAGAGACGTTTGGGACGTGGATGAGAGAGTCTAACAGGAGTGATGAGCGGATCTGGGTGACTGAACACTTTTCAGGTGCCTTTACTCAGAGGTGGCCTGAATCTGTTATAATTGTCTGTCTTCCCCTTTCCCTCAGGAGCATCCTCCTTCTGGGTGCAACCCAAAACCTCTGATAAACGCCTCCCTTTTCCCGCTTTGAATATGCTGGTGGCAACCTGGTGCTTCAGGTCTGGGGGACATGATCAGAGAACCCCAGGTAGCCTGTCCCACTGGAGGCCAAGTGTCCAGGGAGACACAGATGGCGTGGCAGGGACGTCAGATCCCTCACGCACCTGTCCTCCCTTAGGGCTGGCACTGTCCTAGGAGTGTGCTTTGGGCCGTCTTCCCAGCGTATCTCGTGGCTGGACCGCAGGGAGAAGGGAAGGGCCCTGGTCACACTGTCTCTGAGGGAGGTGGGCCAAAACCACTCCACGCGGCCACACGACTCCTTCCAGAAGGGCCCGGCAGAAGCCCTGGCTGGAGAGACAGCTGCCCAAAGCTCCCTGCTCAGCAGCACCAGCTGAGGAAGTTTCGGACCCGAACGGAACCAGTGCAGCTGTGCAGTGACACGCGCATTGACAATGGCTTGCCAGCTGGGTGGCTGCAAGAGTCCCAGGGTTTTCTGCCCCTGCACAGCGCAGGGCAGGGGGACAAAATCAATTCCGGGACAACTCTGGGGCTTTCGGGGCCCCAGGGGCTGCACTTCCCCACGGGAAGGGGGCGCCCCGGGACCTGCTCCCACCCTGCCTGCCCTGCGCACCTCCCGCAGGCATCCTGGTGAAGGAGTTCCGGGACCGCGCCTCGCTCCTGAACGGCAGCTACTCGTCCACCCTGCTGCCACACTACTTCCACGGCTGCGGGCATGCGGTCCACAACGGCGCCCTCTTCTACCACAAGGGCGGCTCCAACACCATCGTGAGGTGAGCCGCGCCGCTGCTGTCCCCGGGCCCACGGCGGCTGTCGTGAGCTGAGCCGCCAGGTGGACACCACATGCGTCAGGGGCAGGAGAGGTGACCAGAGGGGCGGGAGGAGGAGGGCGCCGCCCAGCCCAGGGCTCCCGACGGGCTCCGTTCGCAGAGTTGGGCCTGAGGAATTGCACGTCACAGCCCAGATCGCAGAGGCGAGGGGCTGCGGCCTCAAGTCAGGGTCTTGGTCACCCTGGCGGGGCATGCGGAGGCCGGCTCACCCCTTCCCTCTGCGTCCCGGGGCAGGAAGGGTCCCAGCGTAGACCGTGCCCAGGGGGCGCTCGCCTTCCGGCTGCCTTCCCGCTGCCCTCTCACACTCCGGAAGGTTCCTCCTCATTGTTGAAGGAGAAATAAGCTCTGGGCTTTAGAAGCCGAAACACGTTGTCTTAGGCAACTCAAGAAAGAGATGAAATGCAAGTCAGGTGTGATGGTGCACACCTGTGATCCGAGCACACCGGGAGGCTGAGGCAGGAGGGTCACAAACTTGAGTCCAGCCTGAACAGTTTAGTGGCAGAACAAGACCCTGTGTCCGAATAAAAAAAGACAGATGGAGCTCAGAGCAGAGGCCCTGGGTTCTATCTCTGTATTACAAACAAATAAACAAACAAGAACTATAAGCCAGGACACCTGGATTCTGATCCCAACTCTCACCTCCTTGTCCCAGGGCACAAGAAAGATGCCACCTCCAGCAGTCTCTGCATCCTCAGTAGAGATGGACCAGAGCCTCCAGGGCCTCCCAGCTGCCCCCTTCCGCCCCACCTGGGCAGGGTCTCGTGCCCCTTGGGAGGACAGCAGACACACCCTGCTGGCGCTGCTGGCACAGGGGTGGGGACACCAGCCCCGCGCCCTGCCCCGCCCGGGGCTCTGGCCTGGATGCGCGCAGGCTCCTGGGAACCCTGCGGCAGGGCTCCCCTCCTGAGTCCCAGCCTCCTGGTGGTTTAGCCACTGGCCCAGCGTCCCGGTTTCTCTGCGGCTCGATGGCGCCCTCTGGTGTTTCCTTTTCGCCTCATGCCCCCGCGAAGCAGTTTTTGAATCATAATCTGTTTTTCATATCTACCTTTGGGGTCTGCAAATCAAGCAGCCCGGGAGCTCAGGGCCGAGGGCGTCCATGGCATAGTTTAACTCAGCAGCACTCGCCTAGCAAAATGTCTACACAGCTCTGACTCGGTTACAGCTCCTCTCAGATGGGGATGTTTCTCTTAACTGAAAATTTTGTGGACACTTTTTTCCTAGTATTCCAGCATGAAGTACAAGAATAACCACAACTTGGGGTTAGAAAACTTGAGTTCAGCCTCTGGCCCTGTTGCTTATATTCGGGGACCGTCACTTCTCTGCTTTGTGAAGTGCAGGCACCTGCAGGGGCAGTTCCGGAGCCAAGGTCGGGGCTCGGTCACGGGGCTAGGAGGCTGCCGCACAGGTGTGGATCCATTCTGCTGGGGGGCCTGTCTGCCCCGCGTCCCTGCCACGCCGGCTGGTCACTGTCCCTGCACCCGCGGCCCGTGGCACAGTCAGGCTTCACTGGAGCCGGTTAGCGGTGGGAACCAAGGTCACACCAAGCCTCACAAACCACCCCGTCCCCCGAAGTGCCCGTTCACGTCTACGTGTCTTTACACATCTTTCAGATTCGAATTTGGCAAAGAAACATCCCAAATGCTGAAGCTGGAGAACGCCTTGTATTTTGATCGGAAATACCTTTTTGCCAATTCCAAGACTTACTTCAACCTAGCTGTGGATGAAAAGGGCCTCTGGGTTGTCTACGCATCCAGCGTGGACGGCTCGAGCATGGTGGTCGCACAGCTGGAGGAGAGGACATTCTCTGTCTCACGGGTCATCAACACCACGTACCCCAAGTCCAAGGCCGGCAACGCCTTCATAGCTCGGGGCGTCCTGTACGTCACAGACACCAAGGACATGAGGATAACATTCGCCTTCGATCTGTTAGGCGAGAAGCAGATCAACGCAAACTTTAATTTAAGGACTTCCCAGTCCGTGCTTGCCATGCTGTCGTACAACATGCGAGACCGGCGTCTGTACTCATGGGAGGACGGTCACTTAATGCTTTACCCTGTGCGGTTCCTGTCGGCCACGCTAAACCAGTGACGTGCTGCTTCCTGTCTCCCGCAGCACCTGGCGGATGTCCTCTGGGGCCATCGCTGCCACCACAGACATGGGTGCTGCAGGGTAGCGGGAAGCTTAGAACAGGTCCCGTGGCATGAGCACATGTGGTCAGTGGGCCCCTCAGGAGCAGTGCTTAGCGAGCTGGCAGCAGCCGTACGTAGAGAGGGTTGCAGTTCGGTGTCCGGCAGGTGAGTGCCCTCCCTTGGGCTTTGGCTTCCCTGCTGGTGACAGAAGCCTCTGGCTAAGATGACAGTGCGAGTCCCTGCTCGGAGGAATTCTGTGACTCTTGGCTGTCACCATTCTCACGACTTTTACATGTCTGTTCTATTTTGTTTCTTTAGCCACAAATGAGCAAGTCCTTTGACGGCAGCGATGGGCCCGCTGTCAGAGCACTAACGCCGGCGCGAGCGGGCGTTGATGTGGCCAGGCCCAGGGCCAGCCACTTTTCGGAGTTGAGGCACCTTTGTGGTTAGTGTCTAGGACAAGGCTGGGCAGACTGGCTCTGGGGCCAGAGCGGCCCACGGCCGTTGTTGTGAATAAAGTTTTATTGGCACCTCGTCACGCTCGCGGGTGTTCAGACCATAATCCGTGCTCCTGCGTGACAGCAACAGCAGTGAGTGGTGGCAACAGAGACCGCAGGGTACCACACTCCAGAGGCCAGAGTGAGCCTGACTCGAGGTGGCCTCGCCACAGCCGGCTTTGTTTTGTCCCGACCAAGATGAGGTGTTCGGGGTGGCCGTGACCTGGCGGTGCAGCAGGCAGCCAGCCTGGACAGGACGCAGTGTGACGCTTCCGAGCACACTTCCGAGGGCGCACCTCCTGCCGGCACAGTTCCTCAGACCCCCTCAGCCCAGCGCTGAGCTCCAGACAGAGCACAGCAGGGCTGGGAGCTGACTGCGGCCCTGTCAGCATCTTGTGCCAGTGTGCGTGCAGGACTTTCCCTACTCTGCGTCCTGGTTTGTGCCTTGGAAATCTCCAGGGCTGTGCGGATGGAATATTAAATATTAGATATTAAATGTCTTTCTCCCTGAAAATACCCAGGCAGCCGTTGATGTGTTTGCTCTTGAGTTCTCCAGATAGTGGGCATTTACCCCCTCCATACTTTTTAATTAGAGATATCACATTACCCAGTTTTAAAAATACTCTTTTCAGATCCGTGGTTTGCATGAAGTAAACGCCTCCTGTTTGGTGTTCTTCCAGACATTAAATGCAAGTGCTGCTGTCTCACACAGCAGAGCTAGGTGTCAATACAGTTTCCTAACAACTAATTGTGTATGTATCTATCGCAGCGACCAAACAGTTTAGTTATTGAATTAGCAAACATTCCTTGTATTCCTTTTAGAAGAACATTTTAAAGGCACAAGTATTTGTGTGTGTGCGTGCGCGGTACCAGGGATCAAACTTGGGACCTTGTGCTTGCGAGGCCAGTGGCAGAACCACTGAGCTAAATCCCAGCTCTCTCTCTAGTTTTTTTTGAAACAAGATCTTACTGTATTGTAGAGGCTGGTCTCAAACTCAACTCAAACGGTCCTCCTGCCTCAGCTTCCCTGGCGGCTGGGACTACAGGCAAACACCACCATCATGCCTGACTCCTCGGCCTCCTTAACAGCGGGTAACGAATTCTATGGCCACTCTTGAAAAAGCTCAAAGTGGGAAGCTTTTAGTATGGTACAGTAATACAAGGACAGCTAAGGCCGAGCAGTGTCTCGTGGCAGTGGGTGATTGTATAATCTAGTGGACAGTTTGTACAGAATTAAAAGAATTAAGATTTTATTCTTTCCCACAAGCAGTACTTGATTTGTTACAAAGTTTGGGGCTCACTGCCACAAACCTAGCGTTTATAAGTCAAGATAATGTTTTAGAATGTAGTCCACATTCTAACTGGTAATCAGAATTGCTCTAAAGTACTTTCCAAACAGCTGTGCTTCTGATGTCAGAATCAAGCCAAATCTGTAACCCTCTGGAACCTAAAGGAGAGAGTTTCTTACTGGAAAGTAAATATAACCATCCCTTCCAACCTCCAAGCCACGCCAGACCCTCTTTCAAAGCATTTTCTTTCCAGCTGACAAGGTGTTGAGTTGCAGCTGCAGGTGGCCTGGCTCAGGGTCTCTAGATGCAGGTGTCAGCACAGAAAAACTTGTGGGCTGAAGTTTTCAAAGGGGGAATTCTGATCTTGGGCATCTTCACAGTCTTACTGCCTGCGAGGTCCACGGCAAAAAGTCAGACAGAGCCGCTCTGGAAGAGTCAGGGTCCCCCACACGCCCGGTCACACTCAGCAGTGACACTACCATCCACACCCGGCGGGAGAAAGGGCGCTGCGGATTCCCATCAGCTGCTGGGACCGCGCATGTCACATGAAGAGCCATAACCCCATCTGTGAGCACGGGTTCTGAGCGACAGTGAATAGTGACAGATCTTTCTGGTTGTAATTTATTTAACTGTAATCTAATTAGTCAAATAAAATAATAATTGCTGGGCACACTCATGTTGGAAAAAACTTATTTTACCTCTTATTATGTTATGAGTACTGTTTTAAAAATTATCACAACTCAAAACAGAATTGTGGCAGAATAATGTCAGCCGCTCCTCTGTAGAAACTCACACTTCTTCCCAGACCCTGCAGAAATCACTGGCCTGGATGGTTTTGCTATCAGCAAACACAGAAGATGGAAATCTGGCAACTAGAGCTAGGCACAAGCAGACAGAAATGCAAGGAAGGTTTGCTGTATGTTGGCGTGGGCAGGGCAGCTGAAAAAGTCATATTTGGGGCTAAGGATAAAAACAAGACTTGGGTGAATCCTGGTCAGATGCCTTCATCCCAGGAGCCGCTGTTTCATTTGCACAGGCTAAAGGACCATGGGCCGGGTGGGGATTTAGCTCAGTGGCAGCGGGCCTGCCTCGAAAGTGCAAGGTCCTGAGTTTGATCCCCAATACCAAAAAAAAAAAAAAAAAAAAAAAAACAAAAGGACTATAAGGA